GTCAAACGCTCGCCTTTTTCATTTACGAAATTTCATTTCAATTTCGTAGAAGCTGTTGATTGTTCACAAAACGAGCCCCTGACAGTTATTGTACGTATTGATGAAAATGATTCTGAACAATTTTGTTTTTTACTGAAGAGGAAATGTTCGCATTTTTGACGGCGCTAGCGATCCGTTAAAGAACGGTTTGAATAAAAAAAATGGGTGCGTGTACTTATGTAGGCGCGTGAGAAGTTATCCTTCTTTGGCATCATTTAAAATTAGTTTTTAATTGCATGCAAATAATTAATTACAATAAATTAATAAAAAGTCTGGAAAAGGACACAGTCAATAAAGTTCAGTTTTAATTTGAAAAAATAAATAAATAATCAAAATATTCAATTAAAATCGCTACTGAATATAATTTATTAGAACATATGTGATTTGCACTTGTATGAAACTCAAACACGTATTCCGAATATACAAACTAGAAACATGTGGATAAATATTATAAATATGAATACCTATAACTGTTACTTTATTACAAAAAATAAAGATGTGGTTTTTGGTTCTACTACACCAATGGTCAAGAGATGGCGCTGTAGTCTCCTGAATCGCGCTTTGGTTCCGTTGTTCCAGATTAATAAATACTTTTGATAGGCCTTCACAATGCAGTCGTTAGCACCCACTAAATAGAGATTCTATTTCTATTTTGTTGGTAGATTTTCTTAATGTGCGGTAAACGCAAAAGTAACGCATGAAGTTGGTCGCTAAAGCGATCAACTTCATGCTGTTAAAATTTTGTGTTACAGTGATGCGCGCGCATCTTAAAATTTCACTCTCATCATTTTTTCATAACGCGCCTAAAGAAGTATAACTTCAAAAATATGTTTTTTTTTATTCTGCCCATCTACAGACGATCGGACTCCATGTGAGATTATGTGTGTTTGAGTTTGTGCCTGAAATGATTTGTCTGGTCGTTAATCAACAATGTAAAAAAAAATGTGTGAGTCAGCTCCGACGCACGACTGGAGTTTACTCCTTAAGTTCGTTAGTCTAACCAGAAGCAAAAAGAGTTTATTTAACTTAAAAAAGATTGATACTGTATGAAAAGGTAAATTAACAAATTAATGAAAATAATATACATAAATAAATATATATTTATTCATTTCATATACATTTATCGTAACTAATCGACGAAATATTTTACATTAAACTTTTTACAATAGTCAATTTCAGATGTGCATAAATATATCATTAGGAATGTTGATAAATTATGTAATTATTGTTATCAGACTATTATCACTTTTTTGAATATTAATTAAATTAACATTGTCTGCATTATTAATTACAGTGATAAGTGGTTTATGGTAACTAAAATAAGACACATGGACGTTCGTAGATACGTGGTTCACGAATCTTGAAAATACCGCATCAATGGTTGTACCATACCCGTTGCCCCATTGCTCTATCAGAAACAATATCTAAATTCAGTTCAGATTTAAAAAAAAATGTTAATGTCAATCCGTCATCTTTGTTTGTCAAAGTTGCAGCGACATAATGATGCGCACCAAAAACGTGACGAGGTCATTCATCGATAGATTTTACTCCTCACATTTTTCTCATACCGGGCCCCTTATATATGCAAATCGATTCTTAAGAAGTAAACTCCAAAAACATAGAAGGTTTAACCTTCTATAGGTAGCATTACCTATAATAGATTGATGAGGTCCTCACAGCTGAGAAATGGGCCTTCCAGCCGTGCTATTCTGTAAGCACAAAGTCACTTTTCACTGCGGAATTCGCCGGTGTGATTTGAAATTGATTTGTATTTCGTGTTCGAATTTTAAATGACACCGCTGTTTCCGAGGTGAAAAGTGACTTTATTCTCACAGATTAGCACTGCTGTGGACTGGGCATTGCAAAATATTACAATCACAATCCAAACAAAACAGCATTTGTGTCATATACCTCTTGAGCTAGTCAAATTGTAAGAACAATAGGGGAATAATAATAATGGTTTATTTATCTTAACTTACAATTAATCTTATATACTAATTAGATGAATTAAATCTTAAATATATTTCACATATAAGAGGTTCGTTGACGGCTGTACTAGTATTAACTGTGTCACAACCGTCAGCGACTCCTTCCATGATATTTTGTCATGGGGATGCACAAAAATTAACGTTATTTAAACCATCTAAAATACCTAAAATCCATCATTTTATCGCAATTTCTTTCAACGATTTTCATTACTCATAAAACGAATCGCAGAACTTTTTTTTTTTTCAATATTTAACAAACCCTAGAATTAGGTTAGGATATTTATTATATACAAACACAGTGTATCGTTATTTCTTTTCATGTTTTATACATTTTATCGATATAATGTTACATCGAAGTTTGTTACCCATATTTTTGTTTCATCGTAAGTTTCAATTTGCTCAATAATGGAAACACCAATTTTTACTTCAAAAAGTCAATGTACATCGAAAATACGATTTCAAGATGTCTTTAGTAAAAAAGGGTATTTTAAATGACTCAGTTTACCTCAAATCCACGTAGTCTTATCTGCCCTACCCCTAGAGTGCAGTTTAAAAGTGCGTAGGCGCGGAGGGACGAGGCGGGTTAAACTGTACTTCCAGGGCCCAAGTGATACTTCATACTAGGTTAGGTTAGGTTAGTGTTATGACCATAACGCGCGAGCTTGCCACGGCAACGGCCGGCGAAGTGGCCAATTTTTTTTGAAGTGAAACTTCTTTATCGGCGTTGGAAAAAAATTTACCGTCACATTTTTCGGTTACGCGTCACATTTTTCCGTTACGCGCCATCTTTTTTTATATTAATAGTTGATAGCTGAATGATCACACTGTCGCCGGCGAGAACTCTCTCTACTCGTTTGTAGCAGAGTGACAATAGTTATTAAAGATAAGACTCGCTCAGCCAAACTCGCATAGCGATACTCGCTCAGCGATACTCGCTCAGCGATACTCGCCCAGCGATACTCGCTCAGCGATACTCGCTCAGCGGTACTCGCTCAGCGATACTAGCTCAGCGACACTCGCTCAGCTATACTCGTTCGGTTAAGCTGGCTTGGCTGTCAAAAGCCGTGCGCGTGCATTTTAACTCAGGACTGCCAATTCGTTTCTAGTTTCTTCTCGCTCGCTTATCGTTCATCGTCGGAGGTGGAACATGTGCCTTAGATTACTGAGCCGCGTAATCATAACAGTTTCATAGGCAGTAATTTGTATTCATGTCTATGATAATAAAATCCTTTTGTTTAAACTTTATCTAATTTAACTTTATTTAACCAATTTCTGGAAAGTTGTATGTAGATCATTTTTCGAAAAATAAGGCCATAAAGAAGTTTCACTTCTTACGTGTGTACACTAGTACACGCACACATTTTTTTTTAAAAGAGACCTCTTCAACTAAAATAATTCATCATTCGATGAAACGATACGGAGATAATAAGTTGTTGTGTGAAAAAGTATTATGGGTTTCGATACGTATTGAAAATGTTTTTACGAATAGTTTTGTCGATAAATTAATACTTTTACGAAATGTACGTTAAACCGTTTTTCTGGTAATCAAAACCACTTTAAAAGATTTTTGGAGTTTATTGCTTAAGAATCGATTTGCATATATAAAAGGGGCCCGGTATGAGAAAAATGTGAGGAGTAAAATCTATCGATGAATGACCTCGTTACGTTTTTGGTGCGCATCCTATGTCGCGCAACTTTGACAAACAAAGATGACGGATTGACATTAATAAAAAATTTAAAATCTGAACTGAATTTAGATATTGTTTCTGATAGAGCAATGGGGACAACGAGGTATGGTACAACCATTGATGCTGTATTTTCAAGATTCGTGAACCACGTATCTACGAACTTCCATGTGTCTTATTTTAGTTACTATAAACCACTTGTCACTGTAATTAATAATGCAGACAATGTTGATTTAATTAATATTTAAAAAAATGATAATAGTCTGATAATAATAATAACATAATTTATCAACATTCCTAATGATATATTTATGCACATCTGAAATTGACTATTGTAAAAAGTTTAATGTAAAATATTTCGTCGATTAGTTATGATAAATGTATATGAAATGAATACATATATATTTATATATGTATATTATTTTCATTAACTTGTTAATTTACCTTTTCATACAATATCAATATTTTTTAAGTTAAATAAACTCTTTTTGCGTCTGGTTAGACTATCGAACTTAAGGAGTAAACTCCAGTCGTGCGTCGGAGCTGACACACACAATTTTTTTTTTCATGAAAAGGGTTTCGATGATATCAAACAGCGATGATTAAAATTTCGATGAATTGAAAAAACAATGTATTAAAAATCGTGCAATAATTTTCGGTAAAATGAAAATCGATATCAAAAAAATCTGTATTCTGATAGACACCCGAACAATAGACATACTCACACATCTCCACACCGTGCCCTGAGCGGCATATATATTATAAAAGCAGAGTATATACATGTTCTATAACCCCTTTATAAAGTTGTTCAACATATAAAGTTTAATTTGGTTCAGTCTTTGCTGAATATGAGTTTGGCAACTGTTTTTAACGAAGTTCCCAAGTCGTTCTAAAAGTTTGATAAGAAAATTAAAAAAAACAAAAAAGAGATACAGATTAAAACGTTTATTTATAATAATACTTTCAACTTATTCTATTTACAGCATACGTTTAAGAGAAAACATTTAATAGCTTCTGCACAGTTCATCTGCTATAGAAGTTCACTAATCAGGTACATAATACAATTTTGCGTCTACAATTCTCACAATTTTGTGATGAATTTTAGATTTTTAGGAAGTTTAGGATTTACCCTTAATTCTATGTAACATGTGAGTCAAACATACATTCATATTGAGCTTTATTTTGAGCTTTTTCTGACAAACATATTTTCAACACGTTAAATTTGTGATTTCCACTCTATTGCTCATTTTAGAATGTTCGATGTATTGGGAAGTTAGAATTACTAAGAGGACGAAATAAAATATACAATTTCCAAGTTTACTAGAGTTTCAAACCAAGTTCTAAAATTCTGAAGCCTGGAATTTCTAATTTCAAATTAATTGAAATTTTAACTTTCTGCATTGTGCCACTAGCATTCCTATATTTGATTTACTTTCAGTATTCCTATAGTATTGATTTACATTCGAAATCGAAAGTTCTGGCGGTGCATTCGTGCGAGCTCGCAGATATTTGCGATGCGATGCGAATTCGCAGTTATGTTTATGGAGCACATGGAGGTCTTTCTAGTGAATTCGAGGATCGACGTATCCGAAGGTCCTTATCCTACTGATCCCTCCATCCGGAGCCATTGTGACCCTAATGTGGGTGATGATGTCAGAGTCGCAGTCAAACCAGTGCTCACGGTCTGCAGACAACTGTGAAAAGAAGATGGACCAGTTCAAACAACAGCAATCAAATTATGCCCCAGTACTGGAGCAAAGAACTTCATAGAAAACAAATAAGGAAGATAGTGCGTGCTTACGAATACTTAGCTAGGACCAGAGCGCTTAATTATAAACATTTTCCTACCCATCCGTTTTATCAATCAGCCATCGCAAAGTAGCTTAAATTCTGAATATCCATAATCGCAGACCGTCATGATAGCTATTGATTGTACCATTAAGCTCCATTATTATTAAACAAACAGTTATATAATAATGTTATATTCTCAATGAATACAATTGAGCGATAAAGATGTGTCTGTTGAATGCTATTAACACTTATCGGTTTTGTGTCTACATGTATTTTTATATAAATATTAACTTTGCAGCGTTCTACGTTGTCATGCCATGCGCATTGATGCTAGGTCAGCATAAAAGTATGGGCATGTTCATGAAATTTTATTGCTGTACCAATATGAATAGATAGTAAACATCAGTTCACACGGAACCCCTATTGGCTAGTGTCTGTTAAGCTGATAACGTTGTTAACCAATACCAATGCTAAACAATATCTGAATCAAGTTATCTCACCTATGATGATCTGTTAACCCGCGAAGTATATGGGTCAAGCTAATTATGTATAAATTAATATCTCAACTCAACAAGACATTTAAACGCTAAAAAAACAAATGCCACATGTGATGATCACGCATCAAGTAGGAATGACTTGACCGAAATTATGTTGTTTCGGTTTGAATGATTTTTGTATTATTCCACTAAAGCAATGAGATATTCAAGTTGTACTATGGTCCCAAAATTATTCACAAGTAAATTGGATTTGCTCTAATCCATGACGCGAAGGTAGTTTGAAATGGGTGGGTTTATCTTTACCAACCAAGACGGTGGATTTACCTTTCTAGGTTTCAGGATGCTACTCCAATCGTACTTGGTGTCTGGATACCAGTCCCTGTGTCCAAGATGCGCTCCCTCGATCTTGACAGAATCCGGGAAGTTTCCCTTGAAGTGAGCCGTGTCAACGCACACTCGCTGCACTCGCCCCGGGAAGCCGAGCTTGAATACCGCCCATTCTTCACCTAGGATATGATGAAAAACGGTTAAATATTCTTCAAAACTTAAAAAATATTTCTTGAATGCCCACCTCAAGTTTGTTTTCTATTAAAGGCAAATAAAACTTGCTGGTTTTGCCCCAACTCCTAATGATAATTGTTTCAAATATGTCCTCAGCTATCATGTGCTCCATTCTTCCCTTACATCACTCCAATCAAAATAGATTTATGTATTTATAGTGAATGTAAAGGAACTAATGAAATGCTTGGTCGCATCTGGCTTGAATATTTACCTGGAACCTTAAGGGTGCCATCCTCGTTGGCCTCCAATACTTCAGGTCGATCGAGCCGCCTGGCCGTCTCCCAGCCGTCTCCCATGGACTCGCTCTTGCATGGTTTGATCATGTTCCGAGGGTGTCCGTAGTGTGCGTTTGAGTAGCCTATAAAGAATGAACGCTATTAATTTTTTCCCCTTCATAATGTAAAAAAAGTTGATAAAGCAAATGATCCTCCCAATGGATTAGTGACTCTACATTCTGCGTTGTCACTGTATTAATAGTGTAAAAGAAAGAAATATATTGTATAATATAATTTAAATCATTATTTTCAAACAAAAGTCTGCGGTATTAACGCAGACGAGTAGGTCTCTGCGGTCCTGATATATCTCGAAATTCGATAAAGTAATTAAAATGAATGAGAACCCTTTTCAGTATCTTCATTAGAGTGATCTCAATTACCTACATAAATATTGACTGTTAAAATATATTCCGATTGCCTTATTAATTATGTTTACTACTTCTGATCCTCCATTATTTTGACAGAATTATGTATCTAGTTAATTTATTTTCGATGCAATCGATGAATTTGTCATCTCTATTTACAATCATGAGGTTTAAAATGTCATAATGGAATCATGTTCTCAAATTCTAAATATCAGCTAGTGCGGTGGGGTAATAAAAAGTCTGAAAAAGTGTCCAAAGGTTTCTCCTTACCTTGACAGGTGCCACCGTTCAAAAGGGAGATCAGGTCAACGAACTGATCACTCGGTGGAGGCTCCGGGTGCGCCTCTCCGTACACCCTAAACCTGGCGATTCCACCATCAGGGTATATATTCACACGTATATGTGTCCAAGCTTCATCGCTGACCACCTGAACAACAAAAAAACTTATCATGATTTAATCTCCTTAATATATCGTACAGTTGTACTAAAAAAAGTATTTGTATTTGTATGTGTAGTATTTGTGATGCTGTACATTGAAATTGGCTGTTCTATTCTTTACCTTGCAAAGCTAAGATATCCCTAACCAAAGACGTCTTACAATTATGATGTTAATGAATATCCAAAACTTGTTGTTTCATCACAATACACTTTTGTTCTGTTTCTGAAGCATCGTTCGAGTATACAATAAATTAACTACAACTTTTAAATTTTTCTGATTTACTTAATCAATAAATCTTCAAGAATATTATAAAAGGGATTTCTTCTTTATTTAATTTGAGTTTGGAAAGTGTACGAACTTAAATCAGAAATAGATATTCAAATTCACACAAATTAATTTCAATGTGATTCGGTGGTTGTCTTACTTTTACTCTTATCTTGTACATAATTTGTTTATGTGATGAGAAATGTTCAATTGATCAATTAGTCTTAGTCGAACCTCCTTTCGCCTACTAATTTGACAATATCTTTATTGCTACGAAGTTTTGCATCACTAAGTTGTGTGAGTCAATTCCAATGTGGATTACCTTTTGGAAGTTAAGCCTGGTGTCCTCGTATCCCGCTTCTAGCGGCGTAACGGGCACTATCTCCTCCCATTTGTCCGATTTAAGTCGCTCGACCTCTTCCAGATCCCGGCGACAGCAAGCCGAGCCCATCCGTGTATCTCTCGCAGGAATCAGTGCTTCCTCTGTGAGTATTCGAAATTGATATTTATTAGGACGCTTATCAGCTTTCGCTTAGCTACTGTGCGTGAGAATTGATGGGTCGTCCATTTACAAAGTTTACTCTGAAAGATCTCTTCGATTCGTATACTATATCAATGTTTTATTTAAATCTCGCATATCTTTTGACATGATAATTCTTTATTTTAAAGATTGAGCAGAAGCAACATTTTTATAGTCATCACCTTGAGTGATGATAAATAGTTCTTAATCAGAGAATCTAATGTTATGTATATCAAAACTTTTTTACGTAATGGATCAAACCAAGGAGACACTAACTGATATTCTGAGTATTTTTAAAGTCCAAAACATCTGTCCAATTAAATGCATTTTTTTTAATTTAAAATACTTCTGCTAAGGGTCATCGCCAACGATATCGATTATACTTTAATTTAAACATAATGAGATTTTTTCTCTTATTTGAGGTCTTTTTTAATTAGTGTTGAATATTGTTCTTGTTTTGATTTTATAATTACCTTCGGGAGTTAAACTTGCTGCTTGTATTGAGTATTTCGGAGCAAAGTTTCCCGTAAAGAATGATGTGTCCACCAGCAATCCTAGAAACAAAAAAAAAACAAAATAATTAAAAAAATGTACATTATACTAAACAAAAATAATCTTTGTAGGCTGATTAAATATGTAATTTAATTTCTAACTATAGTTTCATTCCAAAGATTTATCTTTTACTAACTACGTTATAAGCTGGACTATATACGAAAGAAAAAACTACGTGGACTAACTCAAATTTCATAATATGTTCTGCCCCTTTGAAAGACCTCTGTATTTAAGTTATCTGGTACATTCATTTTAGCTTCATCCATAGAATATTTTGCAAGTTCATTAATCAGTCCTCACCTCTGATGACACACTTAGTTGCCAGCTTTATGATGCACCAGTCGTGTCCCGTGATCCTCTTCCTCCTTGTCTCCCAGCCGTCCATCCATTTGCCGTACTCCGTGTACTTGTCCGGAATGAAGACTGGTTCTGTGTCCAGCAACATGTTCTCGCATGGCGCGAAGAAGTCGTCAGTGGAAAACGCTACTTGACCACCAGCCTAAATGTTGAATACAATCATAATTTATTACAAATATAATTATACTAGCTGACCCAGCGAACTTCGTACCGCCATAAAAAAAATAGGGGTCGGTGGTAGAAAGTCGAAAATTTAAAAAAAATAAAACTAAAATTGAAAAAAAAATTAGGGGTGGATTACCATTAACAATTAGGGGGATGAAAAATAGATGTTGTCCGATTCTCAGACCTACCTAATATGCACACAAAATTTCATGAGAATCGGGAAAGCCGTTTCGGAGGAGTTTAACCACAAACACCGCGACACGAGAATTTTATATATTAGATTTAAAAAAATTTGTTAATTGCTTAACCCAGAAAACTACTCCACCATAATTATCAGTATTTGGTGTTAACTGCTGCAGCTGCAGAAGGTATACATAAAGTTAATGTAACCAATATAAACAATGGGGAAGTCAAATGTGAACTATACAGAAAAAAAATAGTGACACTAGACATTTTTTTTTTAAATAAATAAATAAAATAAAAAAATGGTGATGAATGTGGCAATCGATTCGGGTTTAAAAGCAGTTGACTAAGTTGCTAAGTGGAGCTATGAGAAGTTTACTTATACAAGAACATATTAATACAGAAGTGCTCATCTACAGACATGTGCACTTTGAGCTTCAACTTTAGAGGGGATTTATGGCGCCCTCGTGGGTTATATGTTTTGGATGATAGGACACTATAAGTCCGTTCATATTGTAATAGCTAAAGCTCTAGTTTTCAATTATGTGATAAAGCTCAAGGAGACCAGGATAGCTGCTATTGCGCATTCGTATATAGTTTTAGAGAGTAGGAGGAGATTATTTTTTAAAAACCTACCACCGACACGCTCCAAATTCTTGCGAGTGTCACTAATCTTTATATATATAATTCTTCTGTGAGTGTGTATGTCACTGAACTTCTCTTAAACGACTGGACCGATTTTGATGAATTTTTTTGTGTGTGTTCAAGGGGATCTGAGAACGGTTTAGATTCACAATTTTGTCCGCTGGACAACCCCTATTTTTTTAGGGCGGTACGAAGTTCGCTGGGTCAGCTAGTTTAATAATAATTCCAACACTCACACCAAATAGCCTTGCCAAAGTAAGCACTGTAGTCTTGTATTATGGGATACTGGGGTAACGGATAGAATACATATTATACGGTATATATATATATATTTATATAGAAATACACATTAAACATCCATGACTGAAGTACAAATGCTCGTATTCATCACACAAACATCTGCCCCCACCGGGATTCGAACCCGGGACCGAGTTGGCGACACCTTAAAACTCGGCGTACAAACCACTCGGCCACGAAGATCGTCATAAGATTACATTCTGGGTTTCTACTCTTAAAACCGATAGTCGCAGTATCTCTTATCTATTAGACAAGTCCGTCCGTCTGTGGTGCTGTTTCAGCGGCCAAACCGTAAGAGATAGATAAAGAGAATATTTAAGTTATAAGTTAAGAATAGTCTGATAAGACTACAAACCGGATTTGAGTAACGTAGCACTTCCGGTTTTCGAGAAATCACGAATTTCAAACGAAACCACACAAAATCTCCGAAGTTCTCAATTAATTAAATACATTTTTTTTTTAAATCAAGTTTTGGTGAACATTTGGTTCACTGGTTTGCTAGTCTTTAACTAATAATTAGTAAAGAAGTTAGTTATTCTCATAAATGAGGCAGTATGACAGCAGTGATAGAGAAATAAAACAGAATAAATCAAAAATAAGAAATCATTTAAATAATAATTATGATCTCCAAGTTACTCACACTTAGGCTGGCGAATTCACTGAACTCCGTGAATGCGGGCATCTTCTTTTCAATCATTATGACTTAGCGTTAATTAAGTTAATTTACTGATAAGTTTGTCAATTGAAGCGTCGAGTGTTACATCAGGAATGTAAACCAAGACTGATTACAAGCCAGTTGTTACCCCCTTTATATACCAAACCGGGTTGACTGAGATAAAAACAATAATAAACACACCACGATTGGGACGTTTTTGCGGCACGAATATAAATAGCTCAATAGATTTTTTTCTCTTTTAAAATTACCTCATGTTGAACGGACATCGAAATTGTTCCTCTGGAATTCTCCATTCTTGTTTGAGTCGCGTTTTTGTATCAAAGCTTACAATAAACAAAATAGACAACTCGGAACTGAAATACTGAACTGTTCATACTGAAAATTACAAAGTAAAAATTTTGTTTTATGAAATATTTATACGAGAGTATACAACAGTAATATAAGACTACCTTTTGGTCGTGTTGTTTTCTGTTTGTAAAAAAGGTTCCATGGCTCCCGTGTAGGGGATGGGGCAAGTGGTTAGTGCGTTCGGCCGCGATCGTTGAAGTTAAGCAACTTTCGCAGTGGTCGGTCATTGGATGGGTGATCAAAAATTTACTATCTCGAATTCCTCCGTATTTCGGAAGGCACTGTAAGCCGTTGGTCCCGGCTGCATCTGCATTCGTTAGCACACGCCAACGCGCACTGGGCCCGCGTGGTGGGTCATGGCCCAATCTCCCTAATCCATCCATAGGGTAGACCTGTGCCCCAGCAGTGGGGAGATTAATAGGCTGATGATGAAGCATTTGTAGGCTATGATGGCCGTTTACCATAGGCGGCATATGCTTATTAACAAACTAAAAAACTTAGAACTGAAATTCTGGACTGTTCTCATACTGAAAAATCTAAAGATCAAATTTGTTTTTAAATTAATTGCACAAAACGCTTAACCGAATATTGTAATGAAAAGCATTTCAGTTTGCCTGTTATTAGGGCATCGCATCCAAAAGGTGATAAGAGACCTTAATATTTAACCCCGTCGTCTGTCCGTTAGTTGGACTGTATTTATCTAAAAAGTCATTTGTACTATAAACAATGCTAAACATAATAAATAACTGGAATGATGACGGGGTACAGTAAACGAAATTCTATTTAGTCCGTCAGTTAGATGATCAAAAAATAATGGACACGTATTTTTTCTTTGGGCAATCAACCAAAAAATGACAAAGTTATAGCGCGTCAAAGTAGGGAGTAGGGACTCGTGACGTCACTTTTGAGTGAATTTTCACTAATAAGTGTACTCAAACGTGACGTCACGAGCCCCTACTCCCAAACTTTGACGCGCTATAACTTTGTCATTTTCTGGTTGATTGCCCAAAGAAAAAATACGTGTCCATTATTTTTTGATAATCTACCTGATAAACGAAGAAAAAAAAAATTAGTCATCATCCCTATTAAAGGAGAGATCAAAGAGACATACAACAATCAAGATATTTTCATGTATATTTCAAAAGTTATTAATCTTGAATCATGGTAGGGAACCCTTCGTATTCAATCCTGATCCTGATTCTACGCTAATCTGGAAATGTTTTATTAAAACTGTTTCAGTAAAAGCTTTGGGAACGCCAATTAAAATATGTACCGGATTAAACGAGTTCGTTTCGAGAATGATTTGGTTTATCAACTTTAAAGATAATAATTCTATTTATATAGGTAGTTTCGTAACAGCTATAAAATGTATTTAATGTTCATCGTATGTATGACGACGCGGGTGAATAGTGAGTAATTCACTTGAAATAGAGCAAATGCTGAGCCGTTAAAATTTGCAATACAAAAGATTGCACCCGAGTAATAATTATACTCGGGTGCAATCTTTTGTATTGCAAAGTTTACCGGCTCAGCATTTGCTCTATTTCAAGTAAATTACTTCGAGTATCGAGTAATAATTCTGGAACCGGTGGTAGTTTAGGGTAGTAAGGGTCAAATAAATAACTCAAAATTACAAAAGAGAATTTTAAATGAAGTACTTTATTTACTAAGTTAGCTAATTAATTCATACATAGACAATAAAGTTTTAAAAATCTTCCAATGAAATATCCGAATGCTCAATAAAAATCTTTCGAAGGTAGCTCGACAAAGTAAATAAAAAAAAAAAACAATATTCTGACGATGCAGACCTGAAAAGCTGCGAAACGTCAATCTTATATATAAAATTCTCGTGTCACAATGTTAGTTACCATACTTCTCCGAAACGGCCTGACCGATTTTTATGAAATTTTCTATGCATATTCCATGGGTTTGAGAATCGCCTACTATCTCTTTTTCATATCCTTAAGTGATAATGGCTGTCCACCTGTAACGTAGTGTTCTGAAACCTACAATGCGCCTCCGCGCCAAAATTCAAGCTATTGGGTATTGTAACGTAGTGTTCTCATATGGGTTAGGAGGAATCTTTTTCCACCTGCCCCTATTTTTATGGCGGTACAAAGTTCGCTGGATCAGCTAGTAAATAAATAAATTTAAAATCTAAAACTAGTTTTATTTAATAATTATCCTTATTTTTTTTTTGTTAGCGAGCGTTGTAAGCGACTACCAAAGCCTTTAGATGCTTGCGATACCAAAAAAGTCACTCGCACTGGCCTACCCTTTTTTTTTATAACGCTGGTAAAAAATCTTTTTACAGACGACGGCGCCTTTAAGAGGCACACCGCCGAACGGACCTCACACCTGGCTCCCGCAAGTCTTACGGACCCCCCCGCTTTACAGTATTATATCCGCTAAAAAAGTCCTGCGAATACCTTCTATACTGCTTAATGCGAAGCCGTGGGGTCCCCGTTAGGGATTCTGCACCAGCCTACCCTGACCCAATCCCCTAACTCGTGGATTAGAGACGGGCGCTCCAATAGGGTATTTGACAGTATTAAAAATAAAATACCAATTGTAAGAATCTGTATTTAGAATGAATATTGGAAGGAGTTTTTACTATTTTTACGGAAAAAATATTCATAATTTTACTAAAAACATACGATAAAGATAATAGTTTTCTTGACTTTTGTCACGTGACCCAAAACGCTTGGGATTGGTGGATCCTAAAATGACGTCACACGCAAGTAAACTTTCGGTTAAAGTGACATTAGATTGTATGGTTTGACGTTTTAATGACAGTCGTGTGTCGTCACACACCAGTATGACGCCATATTGTCCAGAGATACGTTTTTCGCGGCAACTTGAAAATAGAATTTTAGGTTTAGATTTTTTACCGTAATACACAACATAGTGATGAATATCCTTTTTATGGACTCTATAAACATTAGTAAATAGCGTGAGATCGTTTTCTAAAACTTGTCAAATACCCTATTCTAGCTTAGAATCCGCTATGCCCTTAATTATTGTTAAACAAGAAAAGGTGCTTATTTGGCATAAAGTACAAAATATCTTTACTAAAAGAAAAACAATAAATAAATAAATAATTTCCAACACCCACACCAGTTATACTAACCTCAAAATAAGCACTGTAGGCTTGTGTTATGGGATACTAGGGTAACGGATAGAATACATATATTAAACATCCATGATGACTGAAGTACAAATGCTCGTATTCATCACACAAACATCTGCCCTCACCGGGATTCGAACCCGGAACTTCGAAACGGGACCTCTCGTGTCGGTGACACCTTCATGGTGTCAAACTCGGCGTACAAACCACTCAGCCACGGAGGTCGTCTATAAAGGGGACACCGTTCGTTAGAATATGACTAAAAAATCAAATTCCTCATTGGGTTGACTACATCATTGGGTTCAGGTTGATCATCAATTGCTTGTAGCATTTATTTAGCCTCCATAAAAAACGTTGAGGAACTCGGTGGAGCAGGTGGTTAGCTCATTTGGCTGCGATCGTTGCAGTTAAGCAACTTTCGCAGTGGTCAGTCATTGGATGGGTGACCAAAAAATTATTATTTCGAGCTCCTCCGTGCTTCAGAAGGCACGTTAAGCCGTTTGTCCTAGCTGCATCTGCAGTTGTTAGCACCCACCAATCCGCGCTGTGCCCGTGTGGTGGGTCATGGCCCAATCTCCCTATTCCATCTTACTATTTAATCGATAAGGAAGGCCTGTGCCCCACCAGTGGGGACATTAATAGGCTAATGATGACTTCAAAAAGTAGGAGATTCTCAATTCACCAGGATACAATATGGAAATAAATTTGTATATTCTACATCATTAGTAATTAATTAACTATTATTAACTATTAATACTACCTAAACAGATGCTTCCGAATGAACAATCATTAATCAGGCAACAATTTCGATCAAACAGAATTGGTGAAATTCTATGAGTTTGTGGTAATGTTGACATAACAGCACCCCGATCAAACGGTCCATTAAATCAGCGGCTGGATTGTGGTAATTTGTAATTAGTTGTGGTCATACAATCGAATGTGTATATAGTTAACACCCATTCGGGGGTACATGCAATAGGGATGATGACTAATTTTTTTTTTCTCCGTTTATCAGGTAGATTATTTATCAAAAAGTATTGGACACGTTTTTTTTTCACATAATATAAACATTGCAGAGATATATTGATTTGAAAAGTCGCATGACGTCACGTTTGAGTACACTTTTAAGTGAAAATTCACTAAAAAGTGACGTCGCGAGCCCCTACTCCCAAACTTTGACGCGCTATAACTTTGTCATTTTTTGGTTGATTGCCCAAAGAAAAAATACGTGTCCATTATTTTTTGATCATCTAACTGACGGACTTAATAGAATTTCGTTTACTAAGATAGGATCTTTACTAACGTAGCAATATGAGCTATATTTTAGTGTTCTTGTCTCAGACAGACAGAAAGAACCGTTAAAGGATCACTTTGATTGGACACCTGTCTCTCAAGACCTCTATTCTTTAGGGGAAAAATTTGTTGAGAATCTATTTTTCTGGCATTGCGGACAGACATCAACAGCCTATCTTAGTCCACTGCTGAACATAGGCCTCTCCAAATGCACGCCGCTCAAATTGATCTTGGGCTACTCGCATCCAGCCCCTGCCAGCCACCTTGCGCAAATCGTCACTCCATCGCGCCTGAGGATATCCTACACTACGTTTGCCTAGACGCGG